CTGTAATGGATCTGACTGAAGTTTAGGGCTTTTCATGCGTTTCCGAAAGTCGAAAAATTGTCTTAAATGATCAGAACTCAACTGGTCTGTTAGTATGACCGCAAAGAAAGAACACAGAGAAAGATGTTAAGATTCTGCTGTACATTAGAGTGAACCGTAGCTGAACAACCTGGAAATTGCTGAAAAGAATCACACTTGGTCACTACGAGGAGAATCGATGTGCACCTCAAGAGGACGTCAAACACTGAGCATGTTTTTCCTCTTGGATCAGTAAGTGAAGACACTATTTTTAAAAGGGACATGCCTCTTAAAAGCTTTCTCTGAAGCCTGAGGCTGTATGCTGCTTCTGTCAAAATGGCCATCTTTGTGAGTGTTCATGTCAACAGTCAGTGAATGTAAACCGTTGGGAGAAAATGTGTCAATACATTGGATCTGTACATTAGGTCTTAAAGTGCCAGCAATATAATAATGCCTGCTGCTGTCTGTGTGCTTAATGTTAATGAAAAAAAAAAAAAAAAAATCCTCTTTACAGATAATAAACCATGTAACCAGCTTCATCCTGAGATGTCTATCGCTCTTCATGCTTGGTTATGGTATACCTTTCATTATGCTGGTATGCGTAAATGGAAAAATATTTGTCTTCTAGGCGGGGGAATAGTCTCTTATTGGCTTTATAGTCGAATATTTAGCTCTTGTAAAGGTAAGATCTGTAAATTGAAACTCTTTTGACTCTCTTTCTTCATTATAGTCCAGATTATTTTATTTTGTTTTATCAGTAAATGTGTAATTCATTTTACTTTTATGTCAACATTGTGGCAATTTAAATACCATAATGTGAACTCATTTTTTTTTAGTAAGTGATTTTCCCTTTAATGTGTATTCATTAAACAATGAATACACACTATGAAACTCTGGAAAGTCTAAATCTAAACATGACATTTTACTTTGATGAGCATGTTTTTTTTCTTAGCATCAAATGCTTCCACGTCTCAACAATCCACATAAAGACTGCAGGTTATATCACATGGTTCATAGGGTTAACTGAGGCTTTTTCAAAAATTCCTAAGACTAAGGTTTTGCAGACAGCTGGTTTCCAAAAGGCCTTTTTTGAAGTAGCAAAGAACTATGATCTTAATCTTTTTAAGGAGCCACTTAAAATGGATTAGCATTGACAAAACATTTGATGTGATGGTCAATAGTCAACTTACTGGCTACAAGGCAACAAAAGGTACACAAAGGCTAATATGGTCCACATTCCACACACTAGAGCTGCACATAAAATAAAATAAAAATTAAAATAACAAATGTAAATCCCAATCTTGATTCAAACACCCACGCGATCTCATTGCTAAATGACCACGATTCGCATGTGTCTATTGAACTATTGACAAAATCACACCAAACTATGAACAACATTTTAAATAGACTGCAGCAATTAAACATTTTGTAAGAACCTAAATCACATGTTATTTTTTGTTTTGTTGTCTGTTCAGAATCGTTATCTCTGCTTGAAACAAAACAATCGTGATTCTCAATTCATCCAGAGTATTGCAGCAACACAACAAACAATATAAAACAAGCTTTTTCACACATCCATCTGTGACGCATAATCGGCATGTATTTATTTTGCCGCCCATATTCATTCTACCTAGGTGAGCATCATCACTGAGATTAACTTTTAAGCCTATTTCTCACCAGCACCCCCACCCACCACACTGAGAATGCACAATAAACCTACTTATATAAACATAAGCTTTTGCAATACAGGCAAATATGAAGCAGAATAAAAGAGTGACCTACTACATTGTTAAAAAAAATGTTACAAAATATGCCCATTGGGCTTGATTCAATTTAAACACGCTATGATAGAAAACAAACCTGAATAAAAACAAACTATTAAAAAAAATGTGTTGTTAAATTAAATAAATCTGAATACAAATCTAAATACAATATAAATATCAGACGAAAACTCAAATTCAAAAATGATCAAAAATGTTGTCAACTAACTGAAATAAAATAAGTTGTTATAAAACTAATAAATATGACATGAGGGGGAAAAACACCTAAATGTAGCACATATATATTGGTATATAAATAAAATAACATGAAATGGTCACAATCCTCACACCACTTTAGAATGTATTGCTATTAGAAGAAATACTCGCTACATAAATCACTTTCAGTTATTTTCTGAAATAAGTCTACTTTTTGATGCTTTAGTGTTACACTAAAATTAAAGAAACCCCCTCAACTGTTAAAAACTTTCATTTCGGTTTGCGTCAGAATGCAGTGTTAAAGGGAAAAAAACATGTCTCTCCTCTGGAAGAAAAAAAATGCAGAGCTCACTCAGTCCAGCTGTTTCATGAAACACAAGCAGCCTAAAAGTGTAGTTTTGTATCCCGAATATTCTTATGCATTTATTCTGACAAGGCGCTACACAAAATCATGGTCATGCCTATTAATGAGTTTGCACAATTTGCAATGAGATGTAGTATTTGACTGTAATTTCCCAAAAACTCTTGTCGAGAAATACAGTGTAAACTGTTAAAGCCAGTAGCGATGCATTACTCAGACTTGTTTATGTGGAAGAAGAGAGGCTGATCGCCAAAAGCCATCCCACCCGTTGGCAGCACACATGCTCACAGCACACCCCTTAAGCTACTGCTGTGCTCGAGATAAAATAAGCATTTTGACAGGCCAATCAATAACAGAGAAACAAATTATATGGTAATCTCATTGGTTTTCTCATAAATCTATAACTAAAACAACATCCAAAGAGTCTTGGAGTTGAATTTCACACAGGCAGTTGCTACTGAATATTTATGAGACTACTAGTGAAATATCCCTATAATGTTGAGTCGTATATGACAACTTGCTTAGGGAGACCTGATAAAGATCTCCATCTTTTATGTTTGAGGATAGACAGCAACCACACCCAAGAAGGAGAAATGACTGTGCAATTGCATTCAAATTTCAAACCTCTAAAATTTGCTTCACGCCATATGATCTGTAATTGTGGATCATGTATACATTTAAACTGAACTCTGTCAGGGAGGGAAAATAACAGTGACAGATGAAATGTTTAAGATCGGACATAAACATCAAAACATCAGTCATTCATCAGGGCCAGAATTTGATTTGATTTGTTCCACTGTTTTGCATTTTCTTTACTAATTCTTTACTATACATTTATTGAAATATTGAAATCACGATTATTTAACACGATTATTGGTGGGTTTTTTAAGTCTGATTTCATGATACGAGTACTTTTAAATGTCAGTGAAATTTCACAATTATCGATACTTGCAAAAATATACAAGTAAAAGTCCTCAAAACAGTTACAGAAGACAAGTAAACAGTCAGCAATAAAATAAGAACAAAGAAAGCAATTACAAACAAAACCGGCAAAAAAAAACCAACAGAACAAAAATACAAATTTAATTATACCACCCCTTTCATATTAAGCATTATACCAGGCATTATACCACCCCTTTCATATAAAGCACATCCCGCTTTATCAACAGTAGATTGCATTTTACATCACTCACTTATTCGGCTGATTTGGATGTTAGTGAGGAACGAAGAAAAGGAAGGTGAGCTGGTCTGGACAGTGGCAGTGGCACAATAATTGTTTTACCTTCATTATCTTGTTTTCATAATCATTGGAAGCAAAAATCGGAATACGATTGTTCGCACAGCCCTAACCTTACCGCACCGCCACCTACTTGATCTCGGCGGGGTAGCTGACAAAAATAACATTTTAACCCTTCCAGTCAAATTTAGCACTGCAAACATAAATGACAGCTTTAACATGTCAATGCTGGCAAATGACCATGGCATAAGTGGGATGATCCACGGCTAGCATTGCATTAAACGATTTGAATGCACTTTATCTGTCAGACTCATTATAAAAATGAAACTTTTCAAAGGGAGAGACACAGAGTGGGAGACAAATTCCAGAACTAATGTATACTGACATTGATCTACTTACCCTCATCTGACCCATTAATACACGAGAGATGAAAGTGTATTGCTGTGAATATAATTATGCCTTTCGTCCAGAATTAATCCTGTACAGGGATTTTAACATATTATTTGACTTTTAACAGACACTTCGCCTTTTGACACACAGTGATGAACTATATCAAAGACAGCATCAAGTAGTAAACTGAATTGTACTTCTACACCCAAATTAGTGCTCATAATATATTTGTGATCTTGTAAGCTCAATGAAATGGATTCTTCCACTGAATAAAAAGAATACTTTGCAAACGGTGACAGGAAACAGGCTGAACTGACAAAGGTAAAGAGCTGTCTCACATTTCACCCAAGAGAGTAACAACACCACCCAAATCATCTTATACACGGCTTGATGTCGCAGCTATTCCAAAACAAAAAGGTTTACAAAGTCAGAGAGGTGACTGCATGATATGGCCAAGCTTTTCCTGAGTCACTACATTTTCATCATCATGACAACATGATGACATGACTACAGCACTACATCCTAACCCCCTCTGGAGAGAAAACCTGTGTCCTTATGACCTCTGGTCCGGATGACAAAAAGGCGGAGATCTGTAGAGGATTTTGCAAGAATCAAAAGAATAGGTGCAGATCTGGAAACGGGTGTGATGTTAAACTACGGTTTATAACATTCAGCCTCATCGCATGCACTGAGTACGAGGGCATCGATTATTGATGAGAGCTCTGCCTATCGACAGCCTTGTTATTAGGCTCTCCTAAAATGTAAGAGTCTTTGGTCATATATTATGAGCAGAGATACAGCTTAACGCGTTTATACAGTGAAAAACAATGATCAGCTGCTAGCAGTAGCTAACAGGATCAAATAGCTAGCTGTCAAAGCTGCTTACACAAGCAGCTGCGTACATTTCTACACCGTTATAACGAAGCCACCTTCCATATAAACACTGCACCACTGATCCAGAGCAAACCATCATATATCAGTTACAATAAGTGAGAATGGGAATGAAAGAGATACTGACCTCCAGGAGCTAACGTTAATGCCACTGCCACTCGCTTCAGCGGTGTATCTCTGGCCCTGCTGCGGCGAAACAGCGTCTCAAAACACCTTCATCGCTACATACGATGACGAACGCATGATGTGACAGTGGCACGACGCGACGATTGCACATCCGTGTCTTGCGGTAGCGGGTCAGTCAGTGATGCGGTGATGATTGTGCCTGTAGATAAGCGCCGCTCGTCGTCGTCCTCTCTCTCTCTCTCTCTCTCTCTCTCTCTGCTTGCAAACTGTAGTATGATGATAGAGACGTCCGATTCGTGATGGAATCGTTCGTTTGGGAGTCGGTTCTTTTCAATGATTCAGTTTTATTGGATTCTCAACGATTTGTTCACAGCTCAGTCTGAATCGGTTTTGTTTGAATACTCAAAAAATAATACATTACAAATATTACATAATTAATTTATGTTTCCTTTTAGCTAAATTTCACATGCATGCATCTGTTTTAATGTGTTGTCTTGTTAATTATGTAAAAAAAAAAAAAGATCAGTCTGAATCGGTCCGACCGGTTCTTGAGTCACCGACTCACAGAACAGAGAACTGCCTCTCTCGGACAAGTCCGATTATTAATGATTTGGGAATCGATGTTTTAATTGATAGGGCGAAAAATAAGTTACTTCTATAGTTATATTATTTATTTATTATAACTATAATTTATGTCTATATATAGCCGTCATAAATTATGACGGCTATATATAGTCATAAATAATCATTATAATTCTAATAAATAACTCATAAATAATAATTATAAAACACGTAAATGATAACTAGATTCCTTATGACTATGCTGAATTATAAATTAAATGAGAAATTGAATTCTACGTCATCACGCAGTACACAAACCAGTTTATTAATACATTATATAAAACCATTTATAGATAAGTGTCCTTGGTGGTGTAATTCTTTATTATTAATTTTCGATGTGTTGTGTACCGCGTGTTGACAGAACCACAAGTGGATTGAGCCTGTTCTTTCTTAAAGAAAGATGTTGATGTATATTTGAATTGATTTAAGAACTGTAATAATTAATTTGCTTGTAAGACTCTTCTATTTCAGAATTTCCCTTTTTTATTTCGTGTTTTGCTAGTAAATGGTATATTATTTGTTGCAATAAAATCACTGCACTGATAGATTGCATTGTCGAAGAAAAACATAATAAATAAAGAAGAAAATTAAAAAGAACCGTTTTATTAAAAGGATGTGTTCAAAAGTACCGATTCTCTGAAAAGAATCACTCCCATCACTACTGTACGAGCGTGAATTCCGCCAAATTGGTTCCGCATACAGCCGGAGGCTGGGTCGTACCATTCATGCATCTAGAGGGGACATACCTTCTTCACGTCTACGCTTATGCTTACACGTGAACTAGCGGGTTTTGTGGCGTTTGTTCGTTTAATTAACAATGACAAGTTGGAACGAGGATAAAAATGAAAACATTCCTTATGTGCTAAAGAGTGGATATCTTTCAATTGTCTATTTTCTGAGGCGCTGATGTCTAATGACGTAGGCGTCTCGTTATTTGCATATTGCTCAGAGTGGGTGGGTTTGATAGAGTACACAAACACAATACTGCTTCCGTCGGAAGCTCATATTACTTAAATTAGGATGCAGAGAGATTCTTACATAACACAAGTGCTAATAGACAGATCACTGACACCAATGTTGTAAGCTCAGATTCAGTATTTATTTACAGGTTCAACCCCATATCTATTAAAAAACAGCATAATAATAAAAAGACAGAAACAATACGGAGGTTTCCTGTTTTAGGTAAATGTATTTCTGTATAAAGAATAGTCTTTGAGTCATCTAATTTTTCAGCATTTTCATCAGATAAATATATACTCTCACAAAACAATAAATTTAGTCTACCTTTAATTTATACATATAGAGCAGTATACCAAGGACTTAAGGCTTTAAAACGTAAGGTTGCATTTCTATTTTTCATCCTTCCATGACTCTCTATTGAAGACTACGTTAATTCGAGTAATGAGGTCCACTGAGCTGAGAGGGTACAAATAAATTAGAACTAAAATCAACTTTGCATTACACTCTGCCTCATGTAGTAACATTCTGTTAGAAGATCATTTTATCATTTCAGTTTGGAGAAAAAGCTAATTACGCTCATTACAGTAATGACTAGACTTCATCAAAGCCTTCACAACTCCTATGTGCACAAACAGATGATAAGCAATGACAGATAAACAGGAAGATCATAGAGGGTCAACAATACATGTCTTTCAGTAGATTTTATACCAAGTTTCAGTCTGTGAACTGTATGAGTTTGGCTGCTCAGCCAACTGTGATGTTCCTGAAATCTGAACGGATAGAAGGTAAAACACCTGCATCAATGCACTTGTGTTATCAAACCATTGTGAAAAATGAGCTTGGAAATATAATCAGAAAGCAAAAAGAGCTTGAGGAAAATGATGTGCATTAGCAATTTATCTAGCTGAAAGAAGGATGGTAGAAAAAAAACATACACACGGAATATGAATTAAGTCAGCAAACAAATCTCAATATGCACAGTCAGGGCAAATAATGCCACAACAAACCAACTATTTTAGTCAATCGTAGAAATGTAGCTTTCCATTAATTTTTTTTTGCATGTTAGTTTCCATTTTAAATTGATTCACAACAACCCATCTATCATAAAAGTGGTTTTTAAGATCAGTAAAACCTGAATCGTACATGGTCACACTGGATTTTTGTATTGTCACGGAGCATAGTAGACATTACAAAGTGCTCTCACTTGTCTAGTCCCTTATTTCAGAGCTACTGCTGTGCTATGGTTGTTTCACCTACATTGCCAATCTCTTGATGAGGACGGGACAGGATCTATTCTAAGTGCATTCAGACTATCTGAATATTATCATAATGTAAGTGAGGTACAACAATAGTGTGTTAAAACAGACTATGCTAGATAATCACACAAAAATGAATATTACAGATTTAAATGTGGAAATAAAAGTTGACAAAACTATCTTCATTGATGAATGGGTGTATATAGAGCTAAATATAACAATGTTATTATGGAAGAAAAAAAATACAGTGAGGTGATGAAATAGAAAATAACTTGGGCCGTTAATGTTGTATGACAATTTCAACCACTGATTTTGGAAGATATATATTTACTGTCCTGTTTGAGTTACTTTTTACTTGAGTTAAATTCTGGGGGCAAAAACAACACAGTAATCAAGACATCTTAGGCATCAAACTGAGATATATTTTGTGCATTTATGTTAATGTTTTAAGAACGAACTGTCAAACAATATCAGCCTCCACCAAGAAGAACTGATGAGTAAAAAACAACAACAAAAAAACCACATCATGACATGTTAGGTTGGAGATTGCTGTAACTAAACATGATAATGTAATGGAAAAGGAATAATCATAGTCTCCATTAAGTTTTCAGAGGTATATGTATCTCAGTAGTCGCTGTGAGTTGAGCAGCACACTGATTCGGATACAGTGACTCTTACCGATCCCTGTCAACCATATTCTACACTGATAAGCACTTTCAACCACTCCCGAAACATTGGGCAGTACATTCGACCTCATAAAATTAGGCCATTTGGCTTGTTAGTTTTTTTTTTCTGAATATTCCAACCAGCAGAAAACAGAATTCCTCGTGAACGTTGTGATATGCTGGATCAGTGTAACATGGGGTCTGAATCAATGTGGCCGGCACTGGTAAAGCACTGATTGATTTTTGTTATAAAAACCTTTGGGTGTTAACAGCATTGCATTTTAAAAGACTAAATGCATGCCAAACATCATGTAATAAAAATGATCAAATTAGCCTGTACTAACAGAAGACTTCCTTAATTCTGTGAGTGATCTATGCAAATTCAAAATAGCAGAATGCTGTCAGCCAAACAATCAGCCAGAGTGGAACCACAAAACACTGTAAATAAACATTTCTGTAATGAACAACCTTAGAGACAACCTCTTCTGTGAATTATAGAGTAGAAACCATTGCCAAAAACCTGCTCAAAGCTTTTGGTACTAGAAACATTTAGTATTAACAACAACAACAACGTGAAAACAAAAAACATCGCTCACTCTAGCGAGCAAGTCTCTGAATCCAAACCCATCCGGAACCCCAAGCTCAAAAGATGGTCAAAAAACCATCCGACTACCTGTTTTGATCGGTCCCTGAGCTACTTCTGGCCATACAGTCTATCAAAAGCACATTCAAAGGAAGCAGCTCACTGACCACTGGGTCCAAAATATAGAAGTCAAGGAAGAGAATGATAAAACCAGGCTCCTCGTGACTCTGGGAGACATTTCAGCCCTTAAGGACCATGTGTTCGGTCTGTAGACGACTCTTGCCCACCCAGGTTTCCCTGACAATAGCTCATTCTGTCCTGAAGGGGGAGGTCTGGCTCACTCATGCACGTCCCAAATTTCAGAAAGTAGAGGCGGGAGTTTCTTGTCTTGGAGGCGCAGAGCAAAGACTTGCTCTGAGTGGACGCTGCTCAGTGTGCGGAGGCTGACCAGCTTCATCAGCATTCGGGGAAACATCAGATGATCCTTTGGTGGTAATTAAAGAGTAGTGGATGATTAGGAATACATAGTAATAGCAAAACCTCACCGGTTATACAGTGTTTTTATTGCTAAAACTATTAAAAATATTTGCGTTAATTCAAATAAAGCTCAAATAAAATATAACTAATATTAGATGAAAAACAAGTTTAAGTTGAAGCATTAAAATGACTAAAAATGAAATAAAAATTACAAGAACAATGCAAAATAAATAATAAACTGAAAACATAAAATAAAGCTAATTAAAAATATTAACATACTATAATAGTATTTAAATAATACTAAAATAACACTGGATATAGTCAATTGTTATTGTATGTTATTGATGCAAGTGTGGAATCACCAGTGCCACCTACTGGACGTAAAAGGACACAACAGACAAACTATATAGTGGTCCTCTACTACCCTATAAACTAATCTCGATACATTACTGTTCTGTTGGGGTCAGTAAAAAATTTCTATTTTAAAGAAATCATTCATTTTATTCAGGGAAGATTCATAAAATTGATCAAAAGTGACAGTAAAAACATTCATAATGTTACAAAAGATTTCTATTTCAAATAAATGCTGTTCTATTAAACATTCTATTCGTTAAATAATCTAGAAAAAACGTATTACGGGTTTCCACAAAAATTATACGCAGGACAATGGTTTTTATCATTGATGATAATAATAATAAATATTTCTTGAGAAGCAAATCAGCCTTTTACAATGATTTCTGAAGGATCATGTGACACTGAAGACTGGAGTAATGACTGCTAAAAATTCAGCTTTGCATTACAGGAATAAATGACATTTTAAAATATAACAGGTATTTTAAAAGATGTAAATCATACTCACATTGGGTCGTTTTATTCTGATGTAGGAGTGCAGGGCGTCCACATATGGCTGCTGTAGTCTTTCCACTAACTCATGATCCTGCACGTTCGGTCGGTCTGACCCCCCCCACACACACACAAACACAGTGTGATTGACGCAAGTGAATAATGCTGCATTTCATTAATTTTGTGAGAAATTGCTTCGGGGTGTACTGTAGGCTGAATCATTAAAAGCTCTAAAAATAAAACAACAGCACACCAGACGGCAATCTCAATCTAACTAGTATCTAACGGATGATTAAAATGCCTTCCCCTTTCAAAACTGAGCTAATGTTTATCTCTAATCATACAATTTTATTAAACCCAAAATAGGCTCCATTATTAGCACTCCATAAGAAAACAGTACATAAATATTCTTCTATAATTTGAGGTCTATAAAACCCATTGTACTAATTTTGTTGCTTTTTTAAACCTTTCACCCATGAAAATGGGACATACTGATATTTTTCTTTATAAGAATAGGCCCAATAAATTTTTTTAGGCCATTACTAACTCACCAGGAGACAAACAATATAATGTTGGTTTTGTGTGTCAAACTGACCTGCTGAGAAAATGTTGATAGCGATGAGCAAAGCGTACTCTGCCTCATCCAGGTGGAGGTCATTCATGCCTTTTGAAAACTCAAAGATGGGGTTGATGAACTCAACCTGCAGCCCTGCAGACGAGTCAGAGAGGACAGATCATTTCAGGGCATGAACAACAAAAACAGGTCTCAAATTAAACCATACTAGAAAAAAAACTTGTGAAGTAGAAACTCTTCTATTCTGGTTCGGATGGGTTAAACTGCTTGCAGCTTTGTCCGGTTAAAACAGTGATGTCTCAAACTAAGAATCCTTTATTGAGCAGTGTTGACTTACAAGCTCAGACTCCCAGGAAGATTAAAACAAACAAATTAAACGGAGCTATAAAGTATCCAAACAGCGGATCCATGCTCCAGTCTCACAGCATGTAGCAATCCGGTAGAAGAGTTCTCTAGAGAATGACGTCTGATCCTCCATTTATATGAGGAGTCAACAATGGAACAGGCTGGAAACACTGCACAATGTGGTTTAATTCAGCCATATATGTTTGAACCAGAAACTGATTCAGAAAAAGAAAAGGAAGCCCGAATTATATACAGTTGTCTACAAATCGATGCATCAGAATGGTAATGCGTTTTATGTATTGCTCTCTACAACGTCTGACACATAATGGTAATTGATATGATTAGCCATTGGCTTGACTACGTTATCAAACAGCTAATAATGTGTTGCTAATGTTATACAAACCATGTTTCTGCTCGCCATCTCAGAGTCAGACAGCTGCCTTCTAACAATCAGTATCCTTACAAACGCTTTGAACATCATAGAACGTCAGTGGAGAAAGGCATATAGTTCATCATAACATCGTAATATACATCACAATTCACTCGCTAGATTGCCAAATGTACATGATTTTTCTGTCCCTTGTTAAAGGTGTTCTTGTGCTCACTGCAGAAAAGCCCCGCCCCACACTTTGACAGGATTGGTTACATGTATGTGACGGAAGGAAACAGGGGCAATTTTCACTACAGGTGGTCTTTAAAAATCTATTACCAAATTATTATTGAATTTAGGTGAAATTAACATTAAACTAAAAGTAATAAATGCTTTATGAGTAGTTTTCATCGTTAGTTGTAGTTGCCAAATGTTAACAAATAATATTCTTCTTTATTTTATCCATCAGGCAGGTTTAAATAGAGCACCCAATACAACAACATTTCAAACAGTACCTGCTTTGGCGAAATCCTCTTTATTGTAGCTGAAGTCTTTGAGGAAGGTGATGCTGTCTATTGCTGGGTTATAACGTCTGGAAGTCTCTAGCAGCATGATCTACAGGAGAAAAGAAAGTTTAGCAGGTATGTCAAACAAGCAGTAGAGGCTGCGCTTGGTTTTTCATGAGAAACAAAATTTTACACCGGGTGGCATTTTTTTTCGAAAGTACTTCCCGTTACAAAACAACAGCAGAAACAAGTCTGCCAAACAAGAGTGATCCATCTGTGCACACAAAAACAGTAACAGAACATGACTGAAAACAATGTGTGTTAAGGGTCAGTCATACTAACCTCAATAGTTGAGGTCTTCAGCAAGGCGATCTGGTCCTCTCGGGTGAGCTCCAGGAAGCCAGGCAGCTGTTTAGCAAAGTCTACAATCTCCTGCACAGACATGATGGCCAGCTCAGTGAAATGAGCAAACCGCTGTTGTCGAACCTCTCGGTTTAATGGGTCTTGATTCTGTGGCCATGGCTGAAAAACAACAAATCTTGATGTAAACATTTAGGATCAATGCATCAGAGATTCAGAAAGATGCCACAATGCGTGATTGGATATTTGAAGGATTAAACACGTCTTTCGAAGCATAGTTTTCAGTCACATGACTGGTACGGAGACCTGGAAGGCAAAACACTGATAGAACTGAAGCACAGGCAGTACTCTAATGTATCAAGACATTGATATTAAAAGATCAAAATCAATATACACCTTATTGATGATGCATGTTAAATACACGCAAGCAGATGTGAAAATTAATGTAACGCCCTAAATTGCACGTTAAGCCTTTAAAAAATATATTTTTCGTTTTTTCTGGCTTCATCTGCTTGCCTATAGATAATATTTAATTAATAAGGGGTATGGTGAATTTGGTCCTCGCATATCACTGTCTTAATGCATTAAGCCACATTAAGCATTTTCTTTATAGTGGTTAGTTAGAGCATTAGCATGCGAGTGCAATTCCAATAGCGCCGATGGGAGTGGAAGGTTCTAGATCACACGCAAATTATAGAAACACAGACGCAGCCAAATCATTTCCATAATGACCAACGCAATCTACCAAGAGCAGCGCAAATTAGCGTCAGGTTTAATGGTGCGTTCACGTGCTATGGTAATTATGGTAAATACCAAAAGCCGACATGGAAAATGCACATGAACACCCCCTCATGTGGTATTTTCCACTGGGCAACTCGTAGAATATTTTGATGCACGAGTTGCCGAGATGAGATTACCTTTGACCTTTTCAAAATGGCGGAGAGCAACGCAAGAGTTGTGAATGGTAAAAATATGTACTGTTCATGATCTAGAAAATATACAGCATATATTATTTACGTTTGAGTTTTGATAAAGCATTTTCTTGCTGTAGCAGATGACTTAAGCAATCTCAAATAGTTTTAGCTAAATAACAGGTCTGGATCTCCATCTTTTTACCACATTACGACAACAAAAGCACTTGAACGCAACACACTGGTAAATACCAGTTCACAAGTGGAAAATATCATATTTTCCATAGCACGTGAACGCACCATTAGACATCCTTTTTTGGGGGGTAAATTGATGAGAGCAAACCTTAGTATTTAAAGGCCCCCTGCAATCAAACCAAGTTTTTTAGCTTTTAGTATGAATATGTTAGCCTTAAGGCTATGAATAAGCTGGTGTTTCAAAACAATGACAAAATTCGCATTTAGGAGATATAAGCATTCAAAACGTACAGTCTCTCACTTCCGCTAAAACGGATCTCAGATTTTTAAGACATCACTGCAGACTTTAGCTTCTCATCACATCTTCTGTCCAATCAAATGCTCTCTAGAATCTAAAGCGTCCCGCAACTCTGCTATAAACACCACCTGGCCAAAGCGACCGTTGACACATCACGGAGCAACATGAGTTGGAGATGTGTGTTCGGTTGCTCAAACGCTCAAGTTTTATTCTATTTTTCCAACTGTACGTTGGTTAAGAATGAAATGGCTAGAATTTATTCACACCTCTACTATGGGCTATATGCACGCATAACTTCCGCGTTTGACGCAAGGATGCTCTTGCGTTTCCGGTTGGGGAGATTTAAAGCGGAGGAAAACCGAGGAAAACGGGATTATGGCAGAGTCTTCAAAATTTACTGTCCTCTCGACTTTGAAACGAAACTTTAATACGTTTAGATGTAATTTTATATATAGTTATGTTTATTTAATATAATAAACAAAGAAGCATAAACAAAATGAGGGGTGTCTGTTTTGTCTGTTTTTGTGACTAACGTTTCTTTAATATAGCAATAGAGTATAAAAACCAATTTAAATTCTCGGTATAGCATTGGACTCTACGATCGGCGGAAGTAATCCAGCATCCTTAGACCTTCACCGGAAATACCGCCGTGCATAGAGCCCATTGAATCCAACTTATCAGCGCTCGGATTCGCTTCCATGGTGCTGTCAAGTACGACTTGCAGTCTGTGAGGTAAACTAAACGCTATTGGCTATTTGAAAAGAGGGAGGAGCCATTCAATATGTCCTGCCTTAGCTTCCGGTTTCAGTGGAAGTTACATCAACGCATCATACAAAGCTGCGCAGGCACTTCAGTGGACCTTTAAATACTCTCCCCTCCCATAAATTTTGCGTCTGAAAGGGAAACTCCCACAAATGCATATGCAATATCCTCAGCCGCAAAATAACCGTCCGCACTTTTTCAGCACTAATTTTTCCCTTTTTCACTTTCGCTCAGGATTTTAAATCCTGACAGTAGTTTTTTTTATGCCAAAAGAGGGTTTGTGCTGCAAGCTGTTAGTAAATCTGGCCCAAAACATGTTGCGTTCATATTGGGCACTTGTGTTCACCTGTATATAGAATGCATCATCAGTAAGTTGTATACTGAATTCGATGTTTTAATATCACTGTATTTGTACATTAGTACAAACCTGTAAAAAATAACTGGCAGGCAGCGGAGACTTGTTTTGCCCTCCAGGTGAGTGTTTCTATAAGGGTGTGTGTGTAGTTTGATAAACCTGTGACAAAGCAAAGCTCCAGTTGTATAATCTAGGTCTGTTAGTCCGACTTCACAAAAAACAGATTGGTACGATTTCAGTAATACATAAATGCACTTACAGTGACTTTGGGCCGATCAAGAAAAGAGCGTTTGTTGCACTGCTTCTGCATGGACACCAGCTTTTCGATCATCTCCTGCTGTTCAGGAGCCAGAGGTGGCATCTCAGGGGCAGGGCTGGGTGTTGCCACTGTAGAGGTACGTGCCGTCTCTTCTTCCTGTTTTTTCATCTTCTTCAGTCGGATCTGCTCTTCTGACAGCACACCTATAAGAGACAGAGAGATAAAGCTGCTAACAGAATGATAAGCAAAACAAGCAGCACATGATCACAATGTCACATGGACATATCTTAATAGATAAGATAAGAGATTTGACGACAGCTGCATGGACTACCTGAGACTTCCATGCTTAATGAAAAAAGCCAGACATGGGTGAAAAAGAAAGGTACACTGCCATTCAAAAATTTGATCGTTTAATAAAAATAAATGAATATTTGTATTCAGCAAGGATGCATTAAATTGATCAAAAGTGACAGTAAAGACATTTCTAAAGTTACAAATTTATTACATTTATCAAATAAATGAAGCCTTGATGAGCATAAGAGACTTCTTTCAAAAACATTTGATAATCAGACCAACCCCAAACTTTTGAATGGCAGTGTAGATGTTGATGGTTAAAGAGCGTCACTCACATTGCTCCAGCATGCCCGCCTCCCTGCACTTGCGCAGACGGCACTGCTGACACTTGCGGCGCATGTACATGTCCATCTCGCAACGGCCGGAGTTCTTGCAGTTGTACTGAGCTCCTTTGATCACGCTGCGTCTGAAGAAACCTTTACAGCCCTCACAGCTCAGCACATTATAATGAAAGCCAGATGCTTTGTCTCCACATACGCTACACACCTCATTCCCCAACATCTTGGGAGCAGGGCCCTTCTTTCTCTTCGCTGGCTGACCCCCTGCACAAACACACACAGGACAGAGACACTAACGTATGAGCTTTGCAAAAGCAACATACACAAATAAATTAACTAACTAACTAACGCATTATTATTTACTTGTTCATCCACGCATACTGTATACACATACTGACATGCATGTTCATTCATGAGTAAATGTCCCACATTATGTAACAGGTAAAGTTCAACTCTGCATTATCTGAATCATTTTAAGCACTATAAGCAATGTGTAGTATATTATCTATGACATGAGTCCAGATGTATCCTCCAGTTGTTCAACCTCACCTGGTGGAGGGGTGTCGTCTGAGGGGTACATCTTGATGTCGCTGGGCTCCATGAGCTCATTGTGTGAGGTGCTGTATGGGGCCGTTTGACTGAGAGTCTCCTGTTTCACTTCTGCTGTCAGTGCTGAAGGGCCCTCTTCACTGGCACAGCACAGTGAGTCCCCTGTATACATGCCGACAACACACATTTCTTTTAGGGCTGGGTCTGATGATCAACCAGGTATCCAATTAGTGAGAACAACTTGATTTTCTTTCTTTAGATATTTTTTAATATAGCGCTGCATACGGATGACTTTTGGTCATGTAACATGCTGTGTTTTTCACACTGATATTATTTTACAGGGAGTTCTTAAGACTAGTCATTGAAGCAAGAATCCAACTAGATTTGAAAATATATTGGTTTTATACTTCTGTAGTTCTAATGGATGACAAATCACTGTGACTATAACACACCACACAACCAACAACATGCATACAAGGGATAGTTCGCCCAAAAATTTAAATTCTGTCATCATTTACTCACCCTTAAGTTGTTCCAAACCTGTATAAATGTCTTTGTTCTGCTGAACACAAAGGAAGATATTTTGAACAATGTTGGTAACCAGACAGTTGACGGTAGCCATTGACTTCCATAGAATTGTGTTTTTTCATGGAAGTCAATGGTGCCCCACAACTGTTTGGTTATCCATATTCCTCAAAATATCTTCTTTTGTGTTCAACAGAAGAAATAAACTCATACAGGTTTGGAACAACTTGAGAACTTTCTTTTTCGTGTGAACTATCCCTTTAATATAACACATTGATATAACCTATTTTTATGTATTACAAACCTAGGTCAAGAATGCATCAATTAACGTAAAATTTCATCACATTAAATGAATGGCAGATGGTTAGCACTCTACCCATATGTTAATTTTCGGAAAGTATGGACAGTGCCCAACAAATTTTTAAATAATAAAACGAAAGAAGCCAAATTTAAAAATCATTCATCATTATTAACCGTGCATTAACTATTTAGGTCAATTTAATTTAAGCGTTTTTACCACTGGGCTCCTTCTGCCAAAAGGAGGAAGAATCTCTCTCTTTTTTTCTGTTCTTACACCAAACATTTTTGGCTGCAAATTTTAGCATTCTTATTTCTTGTGTTTTCTTATTTCAAACTTAATTTGCATGATGGGTAAATACCACATTCACAAGGCAAGATACCTTAAATTTAAATCCAAAAAGTATTTGTTTCAGATTTACGTTTACTATTATCATCACCTAAAAAAGTTCCACCAATAAAAAAACATTTCGCATTATAGAAAAATAATCAAATTAATTTTATTTTTCCCTCTGCATTCCCCCACTTATTCTTTTTCTAATGTTTTATTTTTTGTTGAAATTTAAGTTTTGCAAATAATAAAAAAGCCAAGAATGCCCATGAGTAGAAAAAAAAAGAATTATATTAGTTACCCACACCTCTATATAAAAACATATTAACACAAATAAATCACACGTTTGCATATTAATCATGCAAAACAACAACAAGAACAACAAAAACACTTGAAATGCAACTACATAAATTCAACTGTAAACTCCCAGTTTGGGCAAACAGTTTTGGTTACCACTGACTTCCGCTGTACTGATGACGAACAAAATAAAAATACCCCCCCCCCCCCCATCTTCTTTTAGTTTCTACAGAGGAAAGTCATACCGTTTTGGAATAACATAAGTGAGTAAATGATGGCACTAACACAATATCTAGCATCACTTGGTTTGATATTTTGTTATTAACAATAAAAAACATGCATTAGAGAGAAGAGAGAAGAGATCTGGCGAAACAAAGAGAAGTTCCATTTCTGATTCCACACAATTACTTTTAAAGGGAGACTCCACTTTTTTTGGAAATAGGCTCAATTTACAACTCCCCCAGAGTTAAACTGTTGAGTTTTACCGTTTTTGAATCCATTCAGCCGATCTCCGGTTCTGGCGGTACCACTTTTAGCATAGCTTAGCATACATCATTGAAGTGGACAAGACCATTAGCATTTCTCATTAAAAAATGACCAAAGTGTTTCGATATTTTTCCTATTTAAAACTTGACTCTTCTGTAGTTACATCGTGCACTAAGACCGACGGAAAATGTAAAGTTGCGATTTTCTAGGCTGATATGGCTAGGAACTATACTCTCATTCCTGCGTAATAATCAAGAAACGTCACTGCCGTACCATGAGTGCAGCAGGCGTAATGATATGACGCAGCGCCTGAAAATAGGCCACCTTCCGTCAACACAACGGAACTATTTTCAGGCGCTGCGTCATATCATTACGCCTGCTGCACTCATGGTACGGCAGTGACGTTTCTTGATTATTACGCAGGAATGAGAGTATAGTTCCTAGCCATATCAGCCTAGAAAATCGCAACTTTACATTTTCCGTCGGTCTTAGTGCACGATGTAACTACAGAAGAGTCAAGTTTTAAATAGGAAAAATATCGAAACACTTTGGTCATTTTTTAATGAGAAATGCTAATGGTCTTGTCCACTTCAATGATGTATGCTAAGCTATGCTAAAAGTGGTACCGTCAGAACCGGAGATCGGCTGAATGGATTCAAAAACGGTAAAACTCAACAGTTTAACTCTGGGGGAGTTGTAAAATGAGCCTATTTCCAAAAAAAGTGGAGTATCCCTTTAACTGGTGAAAGTTCACAAAACCTTGCTTAAAATAAGCTTGTGTTATTTTTTTTTTAAATAAACGCCACTTGGTTTGATATTTTATTATCAAACGCAATGACATTCATACATTTATAAGTGTGACTAAAGTGTTCAACTATGTTCTGACAGCTTCTGATTTTTATCTACCCTTTGTATGTGAACTCTAGTGAAAGAAAAACAAGAGTCTTACCATGACCAACATCAGTGATATCAGTCGTAGAAAGGGTGGACATCTTCCACACAGCCACTTGTCATAACGAACCAGCACTGCACCTGCAGAGCACAATGAAAGTCTTGAAAAACTGCCTGTTTGTGTCAACGATTCTGTTTGTAATATTCAGTCACAAGAACTGCCTCAAACTAACACTAACTTTGAATATACAGTTCAATACTAAATCAAAACCACCTACAGAGTAGAACAGCAAGCAGCAGTGTGTGTTCAAATCAAAAGGAGAATCAAAGCAACAATGACACACACACACACACACACACACACAAGCCAGTCACATACTATGGGCAGCAGAGGTCTGCCAACTCTCACTGACAATAAACGCACGCAATGCTGATCTATACTAATGACTCTCAGTACAGTTCCTTAAGTAGTCACACTTCTGTATGAAAATCTCACAAAAACTACACAGTCACCCTTTCACATCCTGGGAATTTTTTCTTAAGCTAAACTGTGCAATGCAAAAAAGAAGAAAAATTGAGAAATATTAATTAAATTGAGTGCATGTTTCTGCCAACTAAGCATGCATGTATGAACTGCCTACTTGAGAATAGGAATTGAAAGTGCAAAAAAATGCAAGACTCATGGGTGTTGTTTTGAGAGTTTTAGGAAATGAGATGGACATCTGATTTGGGGACGAATGCTTTGGATAAAGGCTCGATCACATTAACCCTGACATGACATAAAATTGACCTAAAGGAATTTTCCTGATGGACTTCCAATGGTGGATACATTTCACATTTAAAGCGAATTTCGCATCAGTTAAAGTTCGGTGATGCAAAAACCGCAGCACTAACCAAATAGTAAGTTACTTGATCTGGCAGTGACCTCTGTATGGGCAGTTCACAACCACACGCGGGTCCTGCCTACTTTGCCTGTGAAACTTTGTTGTGCAAGAGTAAATGTGACCATGCCTTAAGAATACAGCAAAAAAAATGCTGATTCAATTCTACAAAATGACCTTATCAGCAAAAAAAGAAAAGAACCATGACTCACAAAAATAACATACTACTAGAAAAAAAAGGAGGGAAAAAAAAGAAGGAATTCTTTAAATGACAATGTTGTTAACTGACAGGCCAAATGTATTCCAGACCCTCCTAAAATTATATTGAAAAAGATATGCAGTAAACAGAGTTTCGGACCAAACACAAACAACTTTTCATAAAATACCCAACTATTCATTAAAATCCACTGTCTAACTAGAGTCTAGGGTATCATCTTGACATGCCAGGGAACTACACTAACATTTTCCACTGGTGGCACTTGCGCTACTAGCTTTTTCAGTTACTAGCGCAAAACATGATTTGGTCGCACAAATTATTTATATAGTAAGCCGCTCTGGATAATAATGACCAATAGTGAAACTGTATTGCATACAGATGTGCTTTTTATTTTACTCTCCATCTTTTGAAACACATGCCTTCTTGTTTTCTTTAAAAATGATTGGGATAGATTTACTGCAATAGAAAATACAGTAGCCTACACAATAAAGTGCTAAATTAATTTCTTTTGGATTTCACCATGCTATGGTTGGCACAGATGGGGAGACTTCTGAACTCTTAAGGAAAAGTAAAATAAATATAATATGTCATTGTGAAGCTTCAATGATTCGTGTTTGAATTGTTTTGACGCAGTTACAAAAATTGGGACAGTCCTGCAATTGAAGGCCCACAGAATTTACAGTAGGGCTGCACGATATTGGTAAAAAAAATGACATTGCGATATTTGATTTTTCTGCGATATATATTGCGATATAAAAACAATTTCACCAGATGACTTGAATAGCTCTACTTGGAAAGAATGAATCATTCTAGAATGACTCTTGAGTTCAGTGTTGGACAGATCAGTTGTTATTTTAACCATTCATTAAAGTGAATCGGTTCAAAGGAGTCAGTTCGCGAATCGGACGTGTCATTAACGGACCACGGCACACGTTGTGTGATTATCCAGGCAGTTTAGGACATCGCACAAGATTTGTCTCAACACAGAAAACATTTCATCACCAGATAGATTTTTTGTTTTGTTTATTGAAAGAGTGGTTTATGCCATCTGAATGTGTGGAAAGCTTTTCAGAGAAGATGAGGCAACGTTATTTTAGCACAATTCACAACCAGTGGTAGTTCAGAAAAAAAAAAAACTTCGGTCTTCCGACCTTTTACCATCGTGTATTCTCAAAGATATTCAGTCAACTCAATTCATTATTATGAGCAAGGGAGGGAGAGAGAGCGCGCGCGCGACTGGGGCTTTCACTCTCTCTGTTCGTTCTCTCAGTTAAACAAGCGCGAATCCGCGAAGCCAACTTGATGTGTTGAATGCTCAGAGCGCGTTATAAAACGTATTCTTAAAATACACATTTCTGTTTTAATAAATGCTCATAGTAAATCATAGCATATTGCCTAAAACATTAGGTAGGTACAAAAATAATCAAACGGTGATACATTTGCGACCCATTAAAAATTAGGGTCGCAATGGCATTTCAAAAGGTCGCATATGCGACCATTTTGGTCGCAGTGTAGTTCCCTGCATGCTTTCTTGCGATTAGAACTGTGATTTATTGCATTTATCATCTAAAGCGGATGCGCCGGAGCGCATATAGGTCACTATATCACATTTAGTTTTAGTAGTATGATTATTCAAAGCATTTTAGATGGTTTATTCTTATATAGTGCATTAATAGAGGAAGAGGCGGGACATAGCGAGCGCCGAAAGAGTCTGTGTGTGTGTGCGCGCAGCTTGTCTTGTCTGAATTGAAAGCACGAGTGCTGCAAGAGAAAAATGAAAGTTTAGGGAGTTTCAGTGACATCACTACATTAAACTACTATATATAATGTTGAATGTAATGTATAATAAATGCCATGTGGGGATATTTGTGGGTTCTGATAATATTATTATTTTGATAATAATAAAGTAATATTAATAATAAAAACCTCTCATTTATTTTGGTTTAAAATATCAAGATAGTATCGTATTGTGAGTTCCGTATTGCGATTTGTATCGAATCATGACATGAGGGTATCATTACACACCTACTCTATTATTACGATCACTTTTTTCCTAAATCAAACAGTATTCCTAAATTCAGTTGTAGCATACAAACTATATATTTTAGTTTTTAGTATGTTTTAATTTATCTTCAATTTTAATAGATTTATAATACTGGCCATCAGGGACGTGCACAGGAATTTTTAGGGGCAGTTGCTCTGACCTGAAAAAAGGGCGACAGGTTTATTATATACAACTTTGTAAACAGTAGGCTATACAAAATGTAATATATTAAATGTCACCAAAATACACATGAGAAAAAGAGTTCCTCATATTATTGTTTATAGTTTTTTTTAATTATTATCATTTTTTTATTTTTTATTTTTTTTTAAATTTGAAAAGAAATAATCTGGATTGAATTGACAGATGGGGAAAACTCGCTTCTAAAAAAAAACGCTTAGATTTCGGGAAAAAATACAATCCTTTTTTAACCTTTTGGCTTCCCGTACATTCAGTTGTGCTTCTTGCTCGTCGGTCAGTTCTGATCGTTCTGATGGTACGTATGGTAACTGGGCAACTACGCATGATTTGTAGTATGATTCGGTCGCGTGCAACGCGCAGCCACGTAAACAGAGTTTGCCCTTCCCCTACTGACTTTCACTTTCAGTGCCCGAATGGAAGAGAATGAGGCTTTGCGAAAAAAATTTTTTTTTTTTTTTCTCGGAAGGGCAACGTGAGTCGAGAAGGGCATATGGGCAGTTGCCCGGGCAACCTGAGCAACCCCCCTGTGCACGTCCCTGCTGGCCATAACATGAAAATCACCAAGAATTTTATTCTGGTGAATTTTTATGCTGATATACCAATAAGATTAGTTAAATAATTCATGAATTAGGCTGTTACACAAAAAGTTTACACATGCAAACATCTGGAACGTTAGCATGACACAATTAAAAATACAAGAAGTAGATTTGAACATTAAGGTAAAGTGAACAAAAAAAAGGTCAAATCTTTTCAGCATCCAATAAAAACACTCAAAATGTATTGATACATGTAGAGTGTGTGTATGGGCGCTGAAGCATGTTAATGTGAGTGAGAGCCCCACTTACCCCTAGAATGATGATTTGTTATTGTCTATCCATGTTGTTCTCTGCATCACTAACAGCACATCACGTTTTTTCTCTCCAATAGTCTGGATGCCATCAGAGGAAATTTCTCTCCTATAATAGACTCTTCACTTCAGTGTCACAGGTTTCTGACTGACAGAAAAACAAAGAGAGGAAAAACTAGAGTGACTTCTGTTTTGGCGGTTGTATAGCTCCAAAGCGGAGCTGTTCGGAAGGATTAGATAAAAACGAGAAATCAAGAGAGAAAACAAGCCAATGGATAGAATGACCGAAGAGAAGGTGAATGAGTGAGTAAGAGAGTGAGAGAAGGAAAAACGAGGGAGAAAAAGAGAGCAAGAGGGCACATGAGAGGTTACTAGCAGTCATTCACATGGCTGTGAAATCCCCACAGAGGCCTGAGCTCAAACCTCCACCTTTTGTAAGCGTCTCCCAAACCACATCTTGGAATTTAATTCAGAAAGATATGGAGTCACTGAACAGATGCATAAATAACATCTCAGTGGAAACACTTAAAATTAAAGGACGGCAATTATAGAAACCAGTCAGGGCACTCAAACCACAACCTTCTACAAAGCCTGGATATGATTTATGTTTTTTTTTTATTAAAAATAAGCAGTATAGGAGTCCCGCCACTAGACGTCATAAAATGTTTGTGCTTCAACAGTCAGAATAATGTCAACCGGGATACGACCCTGATGTCGTGTCATTCCACTGTTACACCTAAACCAGGAACAGACCAAAGTCCAGGTTATGTCACCAGTCGTACGAAACCTAGAATTTAAAACAAATAAAATGGCAACTGCAACTGTAAACCATAAGTTAGAAAATCTTAGCAGCCCAAAATAATGAACAATAATGCACTTTCTGAAGAACCATTTCTAATATACAAGCTGGAAAGTAAGTTGTACTTCTAAAGAAACACATTTTTAATTCATAAACTGCATGATAATGAAAGACAATGGATCCGTTGTAAAATGGAGAAAGAATCCTGTCATTGTCTTAAATCCCCTTTGTTCAAGGGTTCAATGAATTGTGTAGCTCTAATTTGAATTAAACATTAAAATCACATTGAAAATGACCTGATGTAAACCAATGGAAGGCTTCTTTCAATGTCCAATGTTCTGTACTTATCAGTGGGCTGTAACCTTTGTCCTGTAAACCAGTGTGCTCTACATCTGCCAGATCAAGAGTCAGATCATCTGCTGGCAGATATGATAGCTGGATAACAGTGACAATGAACAACTGAAACAAGAATAACAGGCCATCATTCAGATCACTTCATTTCAGAAGAAATATTTAATTTGCTCTTGCCTGTGCAAGTTGTGTTTTTCGCAAAATGCTGCCTAGAAGTTTCAAGCCCGAAAATAGGTTAAAGTTTAGATTCAGCTTATTTCAGGAAGTGTTTTTTTTCCAATTCTGTACAAGCTTCCTCTAAATTTGTCATGAGAATTAAGAGGAAGAAACCCCTACTATACATAGGATGCAGATTCATAATGCGAAATGGAAGCATTCGATTTAGTCTAAAAGTACTGTTGGGTTAGACTCTCAACGCAGAACTACTTCTTACAATCTAAAATTAACCAAATTGCCGAAAAAACAGAAGATGCGTAGGCTGGTTTCCACCCTGAAACAGATTACGCCTATTGCTAAATTAAAAAGTGGTCTTTCAATGAAAATGCCCACAAAACTCACCCACCTTTTCATACAAAGTATGAAGTAACAGATCTTTTCTTCTATATTGTGATGTACATTTGAGTGTAATGGATTTTCGAGAGAAAAAAAAGGTAAGGTGGGGACTTGGTTCTATGCATTAATTGTTAGTTGGATTTTGAGAAGTGGATGTTGCTATCGAAAGTGGGAAAAAACTGAACACAAGCTTGCAGGGGCGGGGTTTAAGCGGACTAAATGATTGGAGAAATCCGGCATACATCACCAGAGAGAAGTCTGTCATTTCCACCAAAAGGTCCAGTTACAATATTTTGATTAATTCAAAATCACGAGGTGGAAAAAATATAGACAGTAAAAGGGAAAAAAGAAAAGAGACATCGACATGGATGAATCGTTCACAAATAAGATCTATAACATGCACTTAGAAAATTAGATAGGATGAATTTTCATTTCATGTCGATTTTAAGAATACCAAAACAACTGCAAACCATAGCTGCAAACATGATTATTGTTTTTATAACAGTTATGTGTTCGTTGCAAAAAGAATCAATCATCGAGCTAATTGGAATAACTAACAAAAACTAAAAGCCGGTCTGGAACCAAAGCCACTCCTCGGCCTCGCCTCAAAGCGTTCTGCAATCCCATTCCGAGGCGCAACTCCGTGTTTTCCATTTCTCGCTCCCTACTCAACTAAAGAGAGAAACCCGATGAGAGCGATCCTGGAATCAATCGCACACATTCTTCTGAATTTCCCAACCTCTCACCGCTGCAAGCGAAAGGCACACAACTACGTTTCGATTCGCGAGTGAGAACAAATAAATTAAAAAAATAATTATAAAAAACAGTCACACGGCTGTCATACTTATTATATTAAGCACATCTTTTAGCTCACTCGACCTGTCAAATTTGAGTTGAATAAACAGCTCCAGATAACTTCATAACTATTCTTTCACACACATTTCTGTGAAGGATTCAATTCGGAGTACGTTTAGTCTGTACTTCACCCCAAATACTGTAACTCTGAGGATTAGCCTCTAATCCACTCAGGACATCATCAACAGGGCAGATCACGAATTATAAAACTATATTGAACAGCAGTGTTATTGGTAGCACTCATCAGCTAGCCAAAACACCCTGTTATCCTTTGCACCTTAAAACAACCCCCGTGTAATAAATTCAACAATCCCAGCAACTAACCTACCTTCTAAACACTGACAGATTAAAACTGACAACCTTACGGTAAGTGAGTTGGACAACTGTCGTTTGATCCGGGGTGTTTATAAGCGTTATATGAAGCACTGACAGATGTCTCCCATCATGACAGCTAACTTACAGGAGCTAACATTTATACCTCATTACACAGCCCTTGTAACGTTACCGCGTAAACACTCATGTAACTTTCTCAAGAGATGACGTGGTCACATGAGAATAACGCTCAATTTCTAGTAATACCTCGCTTTGCTGCTGATGACAAGGTCTTTAATCCTACACGGTGAACTTTACACTGCCGATGTGAAGAGAGAAACGCCTAAGTTAGGTAGGCCGTGGAGAGAGGGAGAGCTCTAAGATGGCTACATACAATCACAATCACTGTTATTGTATTGTGCCTTCAAAATAAAAGTGCCCTAATGACAACGCCATCACTTTGACAGATATTGGTGACGAAGCGGTATTATAAATATGTTTAATAATCCGTTTTTTAAAATAATTATATATATAATTTAAAATAATAAATAATTGTGGAAAATTGAGAATTAAAAGAATAAAAAACCTACCCAGTCAAAAACAATGTACGCATGAATGTACTGAAGACAGTCGTGAACAGCCTTACTTACTTTCTTTTAATACGAATTACTTTCACTTTAATAAAATTATTATTGTCATTGCTGAGGGCTGAATTCGGAATATTATACTACTATGTCATATTAAGATATAAAAAGCCGGAGTATCTTGTAGGCTGGATAGACAATATTAATAAAGTCCGGCAGATGGCAGTAAGCGTGCTATATTGTGTTGCACTTGCAGCCGTAACTGAAGAAGAACCTGTCCAAACCTCACGTGATTCAAACAAACACAAATATCAACATAAGTATATATTTGACTGTATCATTGAACTGAAACCGAGTTAGATACAAGTTGTAGAAATAAGGCTTATAACGAAAGTAATGATGGATTCAGACTTTTTTTACAGTTTCGATGTGTGACCTGGAATGTGATTGATGAATGAATTAACACTTGACTACAAAACCATAGTAGAGTTGCAAAGAATACAAAGTAACCTTGACATTGCTATAAAAACAAAAACAAATCGATTGACCATGCGGAGAAGACCACAGTCTGCAGCTTTGGCTCCGGCATATTTGAGGTCAGATTTTAATGCTGAAATGTTATCTAATATCACCATTTAATTGTGCACATTTTTTACTGTTAAGCCTTTTAATTGTCAAAATTGTATTTTGTCTGTCAGCTCAAAAGCATGGCATGCGATTAAAATGACATTTTTTCCTAATGTACAGACTGTATATTAAACAAGCATATTCAATTAGCATTTACAATGAAAATGCTGTACTTTGTTTAAAAGCAGGGCTGGGACTGAGAAAACAGTTTCTGCAGCAGCAGCGCAGTCCCAGTTTCACACAGATCTCTGGCTCTGTTTCACTGTGCAGAACTGGATACTAGACTTTGGGAGGCCGATTGCTATGGTAGTACAAGTTAAAACAAGGTGTGATCTGTGCATTAAGATGTCCTTTTCTCTTCTTTAATATCAATAACAATTTTGTATGTTCTTCATCTAGATCGTAATGCCTCTAGAATGGTTTCCTCTAAATAAGCCAAGTGTTGGAGATTACTTTCACATGGCATATAATGTCATTACACCATTCTTATTACTGAAGGTACACAATTTCTTTTACAATTAAAAATTTCTTTTACAAAGTAAAAATCAAAAGGATGTGTATAGGGTGTTCCCTTATGTTTTGAACATGCTTTTGTTTGAGATGCATCAGTAAAAGTAAAGTGTTGGTTTGGTCTGTCTGTAATCTTTTTTAGCTGATTGAGCGGAGTCCCACGGCCCTTCCTCGCTCAGCTGTTTATCTCAGCATCATCACCTTTGTCATGGGAGCCAGCATACACCTAGTGGGAGACTCCATTAACCATCGTCTCATCCTCAGTGGATACCAGCTTCATCTTTCTGTCAGAGAAAACCCCATTATCAAGGATCTGAAGCCTACCTCACTGGTACAGTGGTTCGATTTACAGATCAAACAAATGATGGGTTTGTTTTGATGGTAATGGTAATTAATGCTTTATGTGGTTTTCAGATTGATTCCTTTGAGCTTTTGTATTACTATGATGAGCACTTAGGGCATTGCATGTGGTAAGTATATTTTCCATTCTCACATTTGATCTGTATGTGTAATCTGCAAGTCTACATACAGTATAGAGTTTAAAACATCCCCTCCTCCACCGTTATCATCATAGGTATGTCCCGTTCTTCCTCATCCTCTTCTTGTATTTCACTGGCTGCTTTACACAAGCTAAAGATGAGAAGATGCCTTACTCAGGTTGGCTGCTACTTGGCCCTAGTGCAGTGTACTATTGGTAAGTAAATGATTCAAATACATTTTTAAGCATTTTTTGAGATGTGGAATCAAGTTGAAGCAACACTCTCAAGCCACTTTATTTCTGTAATGTAACACATTTCCAAGTGAAAGAGAACATTCAACAAGAGAAAAAACAATACATCAGGATGTTAATGTTGTTCAAACGTTAATGTGGTCTATTTCTTCAGGTATCTGATTACTGAGGGGCAGATCTTTGTTCTCTATGTCTTCACCTTTTTTGCCATGGTTGCCACTGTTATGCGCCAGAGGCGGATGGGCTTCATGCTAGACAGCAATGGCCGTTTCCTCTTCTATAACTTCATCATTACTCTGGGATTAGTTCTGGTTTGGGTCGCATATCTGTGGAATGATGAGGTTTTGCGCAAAAAGTATCCCGGTATCATCTATGTCCCCGAGCCTTGGTCCTTTTATACCTTACACATCAAAGGCAGTTAAATACTAACAGCAAATCCGGAACTACATTTCACTGATATTTATAATAAAAATACTTTAAATACGAGTTTAACCAAGTTTAATGACACTTTGAGTGAAACTGAAAATATTTGCTCTTGAAATATTTGCTCTGGTTTAGTGGGGGGGGGGGGGGGGGGGGGGGGGGTGATGTCAAAAATCAATATTTTGACATGTTAGAGGAGGTCGTATTAAAAAATATCCTGTAAGTTTCAGAACTCAAAACTTCCTCTTTAGTTCAAAAACAGTTTTTATTGAAACCAAGCTGCCAAAACGACTTGTTTCAGATTTTGTCACAGTATTATGTCATAATGTGATGAAAGACCACCTCTGCAGAAGAAAATCAACATAAATACGAGAGAGACGCAAACACTGGGTTACTCCAGCAATAAACGATAGCGATGCCTCTGAGGATTAATGTGGAGATTCCTGGAAATGGAAGAGAGAACGTAGAGAACGCTGATTTTGTTGTTGTTTTGATCTAAGCCATTCACTTTAATCCTAAATAAAAGCTTCAGTGAGCGACATCATCTGTTTTGTCATCAGAAAGACTTTACAACACGTTTCCTTTTAGTATACATTTTTCACTTTATTGAAAAGGATGAATGATGAATAGCCTATAAGAACAACAGTGCAACAAACGATGGCACATTCATTCATAATTCCGTTAACACGATACACAGAAAAAGTTATCATTATAACTGTGGTAACTCCAAGTACTTAAACTTTTAACTTGATACAACCAAGTCTTATAAAGCATATGTAATGCGCATAAATGTTCAACATTGTTGGCAAATGTTTCAACTATGTAACGAGATATTTTTCAACATAAGAAGTTTTCAAAACAATTCCAGACGTGTAATGGCGGGGACGTTGAAAATTATTTTAATATGTAAAACTGTTACCCAATCATAGCAGTGGGCCTCTGCTACCAAGTCTTGAATGTGGCACGCCTCAAAACTGAGTGATCGAAAGAGAGGGTAAAAAACAGGACAAGAAATTACTTCTAAACTAGGATGTATTTTGATGTAAAAATCTTGATAACATTATAAGTGGACCTCAGAGAACCCTATACAATAAAAAAAAAAAATGCAGTTCATGACCCCTTAGGTTCCAGTGTTATTCCTTGTGTCTGCCCAAGGCAAACTATACAATGCTATGTTTGTCATTTTGGTATATTGAATAATAAAGACATTTCATCATTGTGGCTTACTGTAAAATGTTTTACTTTATGTCCTTGTTTCATCAAAATAAAAGTTGTTCTCCCTAAATATACCTTTTAGTGAGTCAGTGAGTGTGATCATGAGCTGCACCTACTGTAACAGACAGTATAACATGATAGTTGGATCCTATATCAATGTTCCTATGACAACAAGGCTATCAGTTACATCAAAACTGCAGTGGACTTTAGTTCCTACAGGTAATCCAGAGGGAGTGACTCTTTCCCTGAACAGACGAAACATGGTGAGTTTGATGATGTTTTTCTCTTTAATGTTATTTTCATTCAATTGTTGATTTTTCAACATCTTTTTTTAAACCTTTACAGGCAAAATTCTTAACACAAACTCAGATTGATGGTAAGCTGTGTTACACAGAAAGAAAGTGAGCAATGTAAATTCATGAATATAGTAAAATACACTAAATTGTTATTTTTTAAAAACAACAATGTACAGTACATTTATGAGAAATGAGATTTTTTGTTGTGGAACTGTTTTTCACTGTGGTTTTGCATGTTTTCATGTAGAGTTCAAAGAATGTTTCTCGCTTTATGACAAGAAGCGAAAGGGGAAGATTGAAGCCAAAGACCTTATTACTGTCATGCGCTGTTTGGGTACAAGTCCCACATTTAATGAAGTGGATAGACATCTGCAAGTCCACAAAATAGGTAACTTTTTGTTTGATTAACATGCCATTGAATTGTGAATATGTCTTCCTTGTCTACTTTCAGCTTCCTTGTGCTACCTGTGGCTAATGTCAAATGTAGTGCTAATGACAACACACACGCAACTTTAATTAACAATCAGATATTTAGTTATGCCATATTTGATTTTTATAGCCAGTGTAAGAGCTGCATGTTGAGGCACTGGAATCAGACAAAAGCTGAAGTAAAATATCCAATATTTACTTGTGTTTGAATGAATTCTTTGCTTTCTTTAATGTTAGTAGTTCATAAATATTATCTGCTGTATCTTCACCACAGATAAGACAGGGGAGCTGGACTTTTCTACATTTCTAACCATGATGCACAGACAGATGCAACAGGAGGATCCTAAGACTGAAATTCTGGAAGCTATGCGCATGACAGACAAACACAAGAAGGGCTACATTCTGGCATCTGAGTTAAGGGCTAAACTCACTGGCTTGGGAGAAAAGCTCACTGAAAAAGAAGGTATAAATCATCTCAGATCCTTCTGGTTGGTTTTATGTTGATTTATTCAAAGATCAGAGCTAATCAAAACAAGTTTTTTTTTTTAAATGTCAGGGTCTGGACTGATTTAAATATTAACCCCATTAAATTATATTATAATATGAAACATTTTTAGAGATGTATCTTGTTTGAGGAATTTAGAAAAACATTTTATTTTTTCGATTTTCTAAAACAATTGACCCAGTCAGATCCCAGTATAGTAGCACTATTAGACAGAATGAATGTGTTGTAACTGTGCATTGTTTTTCAGTGGATAAGCTTTTTAAAGAGGCTAATGTTGGACGTGATGGACTCGTTCATTATGAGGAGTTCACCAGAATGGTCACACTTCCTTCAGTGGACTACTAATGAAGAAGAGTGGGTTTGGCCCATACCCTGAATAAAGCAGTTATTTACTAGCAGGAATACAATATTTTTGTTCAGTGTATACATAAAAATAACAACAACAATTGATTAAAAGTTCAAATGAAAAGTCAAATCTGGATAGATGTTGTGATTTCAGTATTTACCACTAGATGGCAATGATGTAAATAATTGAATTATTGTGGCAGGGTTGAGAAACACTGACTGACATGATATTCAGCATATTATTATTTATTGAAGTTTGAAGATTGTTAAACAGTGAATGAGCTCTTGAAATGCAAACTGTTTGCAGTCATCTATTTTTAAATCTATTTACAAAGTACAAAATAGAAACCTATGAGACTCCATCCTTTCCCCAATCCAAAGCTTTCATGAACTCCTCTTCAGTGAAGGACAACAGCTTGGCCGCTTCAAAATGCATCTTTCAAAAATACAGCATAAACATAAAGTTAGTTAGTGTGATATGATATTACTGTATTTGGAAATGACAGTTTCAAGTAATTGCAAAGATACTGATTTCTTACCTTCTGTCTTTTTAAAATATCTATTAGCTTAAGTTGCTTTTTAAAACCCATGATGAGCTCAGCATTTTGTCTCTCCAGCTTTCTGTTCTCAGCTTGTAAGGTTTCAATCTTCTGGTGCTCCTGACTGGTTGAATCCTTCGGTAGGGTAAAAAAAGCATAAGAGAAGAAGTGAAATTAATAAAAATGCCATCTAAATTTGAAATACTTCTGGAGTAGATGTGGTGCCAAACAGTTCACTCAAGGTTTTGTTGCACAAAAAAACTGAATAGACATCACTTTGTTTTATTTCATGCTGGTTTATCTCTGAGTTCACATTACCTTACTGCTCTGTTTGAGTTTGTTGAGCTGAGTTTTAGTCTTCTCAACCTCCTCTAGAGCTCTATTCAACCGCACCTCTGTTGCACTGTGTGTATTGGCTGCCTGCTTATGGGTTCTCTTCATGCTTTCCAACTCCTAGATTGGACAGACACAGGCATTTACGTATAACCGAAGAAAACATACTTACCTACCCAAACATCATGCACATGCAAAAAAGTCTAAAGTAAGATGACAGAATGGATGTTTTTTTTTAAAGCAATACGGCCCATTCTGATTGGAATTTCTATCTGGTTATACTGTTATTCTCTATCATCATTAAGTTTCCATGACCCTATCATGAGGGAAAGGGTGAGTTCCAAAGATATCTGTCCCAGAAGCCCAAGTGCAGTGTGCTCTGCACTCTGAGCAGCTGTGGCACAGTCTCACTTTACACACAGAGGACTAATCAGGTTAAAGAGCCCATGCCGAGGATTCCATGGCTCTGGATCCTGGCACAGCTTTGATTAACAGGAATTAAGACAAATATGTTTTATTTGAATTGAGTTACAGTGAGGTTAAAAAAACATACATTTCTGTCAGAAACGCTTGTTCTGTCAGAAAGTAACTTCAATAAGTTTCAGTAGATTGTGGATTGTTTCAGTAGAATTTTGAATAATATTTTGCCAACAATTCAAGTACCTTTTGCAGTGCTGCCACTTGCTGTTGCAGACCTTCACACTTCCGACTGGATTCTTCAGCTAAAGCTCTTTGCTTCTCAACCTGAGTCTGTTGGACATTTGTAGTCCTCTGCAATCTTGCCCTTTCCTCTTCCACGTCCTTCAGTTTGCTGCATAAAGTGCTATTTTCATCATCCTTCACAAAAGGGATTTTGAGCAAGAGTGAGTTGACCTGACTGAATAGATTAACCAACCTTGAACACATCTCAAACGGCTTACCTTCTTGTTGGATTCATATGAGAGTCTGTTTAATTCTTCCTGCATTACTCGAAGTTTAGCCTTCAAAAATCTGATCTGAGCTTCTGTAAAAATGAAATGAATCTATAAGTCAAAAAGTATAACAGAACAACAAATTCAATATTTGAACATATTTGGTCTTTTTAACCAACCTGCGCCCATCTCATCTCCAGCACTGGGCATGATGTCATCCTGCAAGTGTTCCTCAGTGAGATCATCACTCGCCCTGTTCTCGATTATGCTGATTGTCTTAGCAAGTGAGAAATCCCCAAAGTCTTCAGGAATAGCAACATCATCAACTACAGTGTGTGGTGCTTTTCTGTTGACACTACCACAAAGACCCAAAATCATTCGGATTCATAGCATTTCATGATATACAATAAATGTTTTTATTATTATTTTATAATAATAAAAACTTTGAGGATACACTTACTGAGGATTCTTTCTATTTCCTGAACCTGGCTTGTTTGTCTTTGAAGATTTTACAGAGAAGTTCTTGTTTTTCATGATCTACATAGCACAACAGAAATGGGTTCCTGTCAGTAATGGGGTCTTGTATCTAATCCACATTTGCACTGATTCATATGATACTTGTGTTGTACCGTAGTGGGCTGCTTAGACGTTGTTTCTTTTGTTATAGTCCTAATAAGACAAACAAAATGTTATGCTCGCAAACAGCAAATGATGTTGCTTATGCTCATGTCAAATTGTTGTGAGAGCCATTACCCAGAAACCTCAAAATGACAGTCAGTATCAATGGAGAGGTGGGAGGAGATTGGTTTAGAGAGTACCTCATTTTGATCCCTCTGAAAACCACAATCACAAACATACAGTGTCAATGTCTGGGTTTGTTGCAACATCATACATATGACATAGGCTACTATAAGCTATACACATTAAAAGTACAGACCATATTCTCTCAGATCTTTCAAAAATCATTTGCTATTTTTCACATTGACATTTTTGTCTACTCTTACCATAACTTTCTCTGCTTCCCGAACAAGTTCTGCTGTTTTTGCCTCTAGCTCTGCATTGAGACGCCTGAAGAGTATCAGAGTTGCAAGCAGATAGATATTAACGATACCATGTTCTCATCTAAATTCTTTATAGCACCTGTTATGCAGTCACTGGGTATAAACTACATACAAAGCAGCGTATTATGTAAACTAATGTGCATTTAAGTACTAAACCCATACTTGTATTCCTCCTCTTTGGCTAAGAGGTCCATTTGTGGTGGTTTCTTTGAAGGAGCAGATAAAGACCTGCTCTGAGGTCTGGGTCTGGAAGGCCTTTCTGAGTAAGACGTTTGAGGCTTTTTTAACTGAGTAGACAGAAAGTATCAGTATTATTGCGATTTGCGATTATTAATCTTTCTCCGCCCTCAAAATACCACTTTCTTTATTACTTCTTACGGCTTTTCTTAATTTAAAGTGGAAAACGTAGATCATTTTATTTAATACACAACAGAGTATTTTATGCAAAACTGTAATTAATACGGAATAACTCGAAACGAGGATTAAAGAGTTGTATTTCGTTGACTTACAGGAGGTAGCGCGAGTCTGGGTGTGCGGTCTGCCATTTTTGTTAGAGGCGAGACGCCGTTGCTAAGCAACAGTTTCTACCTTAGCTTTTCATCCGAGGCATTTAAAAGGATAGTTCACCCAAAAATGAAAATTCTGTCATCACTTACTCACCCTCATGTTGTTCCAAACAAACCTGTATGAGTTTCTTACTTCTGTTGAACCCAAAAGAAGATGGAGTGAAGATGTTAGTAATTAAACAGTTTGTAGGAAAAATACAATGGAAGTCAATCAACTGTTTGATTACCGACATTCGTCAAAATATCTTCTTTTGTGTTCAACAGAAAAAAATAATTTAATACAGGTTTGGAACAACATTAGGGTGAGTAAATGCTGACCGAATTTTTGCGTGAACTATCCCTTTCATTAAATTTTTTATGTATACATGCTTTTTTATAACCCGTTTCTTTAAAAAAACGTCATCGTTCACCTACTTAATTTACGTGACAGTAAATAAAAGATAAAATAAGTATAATGTGTATTTCAGATCATTTGATGTTGTATTTATGGCAATAACGTTACATGACAGGAAATGTCAACACAACCTCCAGGCCAAGGTGAATTCTTTATGATAAAAAGACAAACAATCGAATATGACGGGAATCTTGTAAAACAATGAGAGGGATATTATCAATCCTTACTGACAGCCAGTTATGCTTCAGAACACGAGTGATTATAGTCTGAACTAGATGAACTCGCTTGCAGCACCCTCGTGTGGGTTTCCGCTGGTGGCGCAGTGCGCATGCGCGGTCCCAGCAGCAGCAGCTTCCCCAGTGGTCGCCAGTGAGCTACTAGGTAGGTAGTGTCTGACTTTGAACCTGCTGCAGCTCGAAGTGTTTCCTTGCTCCTGATGCACGCGCAGGGATAGTGACCTCAGCTGCAACCACAAACCATGAATTACCAACGTGATGTATTAGAGCCGAGTCCGATTTGTCAGTGAAATCAACAGGCAGTGATCGTGATGTACTATATACGGAGGAAAGCTGCATTCTCCAGGTTCAGGTTAAGGCCTACTTTTTAGATCCCCATCCTCGTCTCAACAGAGTCGCATCGTGATGGCTGATGACCAGCAGCAGTCTGGTCCTGGGGTCGGACCTTTACCTTCCGCGGTTCAAGGATTGCAAGGGGATGAGGCGAATGCGTTGCAGCTAAAAATAAAGAACTCAATCTGGTAAGTCTGTCTGAATGAATAATGGCCAGTAAGTGAGTGCTGCTGGATATGTGGTGGTTAATGGGATCGAAAGCTCTCCATCCTAATTAGCTCTATTCTAGATGCTCCCTTGTTTCCACTTGACAGTGAGTCATGGCTATAGTAAGTTAACTATGGGTGTGTATTTAACTAATCTCGCCGTTGCTTTCCTTATTGTGATAATAACGATAAAATAACTTATCAAAGTTGTTTGTTTTGGACTGAGCAGATGGAGGTTAAAATCTGAGGTTGGTTAACTGTTACTCGTGGCTGTCGTGGACAGTGTATTAGTTATTTATCGGCAAAGAGCTTTTTTGTCTTCTCGTGAAAGTGTGCAGAAATTGAAATGTCTGTGTCTTGGAATGGGCGAAAGATTTCCCGCGACCACGCGCTCTTATCAGATTTAGTGGGCGCGCTAGTGATGGTAAACAACTCGCGTGCAGCAGCAGCGACCGGGTACAGCCGCGCGCATTTAAACGGCCAGTGTGCCGAACACGCTTTCCTTGTAGACACCAATGCATCCGTTATAGACCTATTGTGCTCTTCACATTATAGTTGTGTTGCAGTGATCCAAAATGTGTATTAATTCATCGGGTACGCGCTTAGTTACTGTGACATGAATGAAGACATCGTAAACCATGCAGCCATGGCTTAAGATGTTTATAGCGAAGCAGCGCATGCGTTCTAACGTATGCATTTGTATTACTCAGTATATATTTTGAGGAAAATATATAGCTTCTGTGTGCATAGTCACTCAACCCAGTCCTGTCTTAGGTTAGTAGTTTTACCTAGAATTGATCATTGTTGGTGCACATTGCTTGTGGCAGCGAAAAAAAAAAAAACGCTGACACGATTATTTTGCAGCCTCCATCCCCCTCACCACCACCCTTGTTTTTGCATGTTGAGACATGTTCTCAACGACATGCATCTGCAGCAGCGGCTACTGTACGTCCAGTGTGTGGCGTAGATTTGTTTACCTTTACGTGCAATAGTATGTATTATTTGTGTTTCTGCTGAGTATTTTGGCGTGAGATTGGAGAGTCATGGGCATTTCTACAGCAAATATACTTTTTTAACCTCTGTAATGTTGTGTTAGCTAGTATGTATGTGTCTATAATTCTTTATCTTTAAAGTTTTTATCCAGTACTCATAAGCAACTATTATTTAAAAAATTGTAAAAAGGGGTGGGAACCCTCAATGTAGCATATTCCTTGTTGCTCTGTTGTTTACTGAATTATCCTTTAATCAGTTCATACAACTAATGGTGGAGTGAAACCATGTTGATATTAAGACCTGTATGGTCTTCCTGGGAATCTGAGACACATAGCTATTAATCCAATCATTAAGTAACAGTGTTTAGTAGTTTTCTTTTTGAATGCAGTTTTGTTTGGATGTAGCTGCACTTGGTGGGCTCAGCTGTTGTTATCAGTGGATTCGGAATAGATTAATGCAGTTATTTTGGACATAACTGACAGTTATTTTACCAATTCATTTAATCTTAACCAAATTATAACAACGAAATACACACAAAAAAAAAAATACTTAACAATATCAGTTTAGTGTCCAGGACCGAGCATTGGGCAGATGATCCACAGATGGATTTTTTTTTTTTTCTGTTGTAAATTTGACTTAATTTTAACTTGAAGCTGTGTGTCGTTCACACCCGAATTCTGCTGTTCATTATAGCTCTAAGTACTATTAAATGGATTGACTGTTTACGCAGACAGACATCCATATGATGAGTGGACAGTCTCAGCCTGTGCTCCTTGCCCTTCACTCTGAGCAGAGCTCTAAAGGTTAGGCCTGTCGTGTCGATGTGATAGCTGATACCCCTGAGCTGCATTTGGCATGCTGGTTGGCACATGGTACTGTCTCTGTGGAAAAGAACAGGGTATTTGGCACTGGTGCTGGCGAGCCTTGTGGAAAAGAGATTGTGATTTGCCTATAGCAACTAGGCTGTCACTAATGGCAATATCTTGTAATTTATACATTGATGATGGAGATTATTGATGCATAAATACTGCCTGTAAACTGAAAAGAAGTAGCAGACAAATCTCTAGAATCTCACTTGGTTAGGAAAAAAAACATTTATTTTTGCCAACAGACCAGCAGAGGGGGTTGTTTAAGAATGAGCTGTACTTTCTGTGTAATTCTGTGATTTAGCTCTTCAAGCTTATTTTAGGGATGTTGTCACTTGGTTTACACCAAATCTGTCAGGTAATTTTAGATTAACAGCTACACACACAAGTTGAAGTTACACACAAAGCTGAGTTTGAAAGGTCCCTTATTTTTACATGGCTGTGTTAATGTGTATGTACGTCCACATCAGTGTGTGTGAATCTTTCTTCATCTACATATGAAGGGAAATAAGATGGAATTGGGAGGAGGGGAAGAGATCCATACACAATGGTGGTAATCACCTTCAAAGAGAAATGAAAATGAGCTATAGCACCGCTGGCAAAAAGCCCAGCTGTTTTTGCCAAGCTGCAGTTTCTGAGAATGGCTCGCAACTGCTGCTTCGGTGCTGTTAGATGATTCTGTTTTGGTTTAGCCTACATTTAGACCGATGCTCAAACAATGGAAGGATCTATGTCTGTGGTTTTGCTGCATAAAACATTCTTATTGGAATAAGCGCATACAACTAATGGTGGAATTAAACCTTGTTCATATTATGACCTTTATTGTCTTTTCCTGGGAATCTGAGACAAATATAGCTATTAATCCAATCATTAAGTAACAGTGTTTAGTTCTTTTCTTTTTGAATGCAGTTTTGTTTGGATGTAGCTGCACTTGGTGGGCTCAGCTGTTGTTATCAGTGGATTCGGAATAGATTAATGCAGTTATTTTAGACATAACTGACAGTTATTTTACCAATTCATTTAATCTTAACCAAATAATTAGGTCTGCAATATACTCTCAGTCCCAATGAAAGTTACAGTTTTCCTGTTTGAGAAGACTAGTTGTGTATCATAGCATTTCTCTCTTTCTGCGATTTACTTAGAAGGTGTGAGATTTTTCTTTGCATGTAATTTTATATTTGCACACAGATGAATATTGCATGCACTTTTTGATCATATTTCTTGTTTCCCAAAACACGTGCACACAAACAGTATAGTGTCATACACAAATACACTACTATTTTTTTTTTAAAGCAATTACGTTTTTTCATCTTGGGTGCCCTTAATCGATCAAAAGTGACAGTAAAGACATTTCTAGTGTCACAAAATATGTACATTTCAAATAAATGCTGTTCTTTTGAACATTATATTCAAAGAATCCTGACCAAAAATGTATTGTGGTTTTCATAATAAAGATAACTGTTTTCAATAATAATAATAATAAATGTTTCTTGGGCACCAAATCAAGACGGACCAAATACATCTAAACAATCCAAAAACAGGACATGACGTCACAAGATGCGACCCTAAAAAGTACAGAATACTCAAGTATACCTAGTTCATCATAGGAGTGGTGTTGCCCATTACAGTTTAGTGCCGGCGTCAGAACGAGCACACATAGGGCTGGGGCGGTATGTATTTTTTCTATCCGCGGTTGAAAAGCAAGATATTCCCGCGGTATAGCGGTAAACCGCTTTAAACATGATGTTGAACGAAATGAAAGATGAACACCTTTTCCAACATGTCTCAATTACAAAAATTATATTCCATATTTATGTTAACATAATATAATGTTATTTTTTATTTAATCTATGTCGATTATATGAAAAGTGAACACCATGAGTAAGATAGGATCATAAGATGGGTCAGACATGATTTTGACCACTTTAAGTTTTGTTTTGTAGAAAGCCTTTCTTTAAATTAAATTTCGTTTTGTATAAATTGTGTCTTAATTTTAATCACTGTTTCATTAACTAATTGCCTGGAATTATACAAATATAGCAGACATATAATCAGGACGATGTGGAAGCGACGGTGCGATCTCTTGCGTGTGAACTGGAGCTCGTCTCATAAATGAACCGAAACTCGTGCGCCCATCAGAGACGGAGTTCACTGCTGATATTCTGAGGATACAACATAGCCAATAGGCTATACTAGGGACTTTAGCCTTTAAAGGGGTCATATAATGCCATTTTTGTACAAGCTAATATCATTCTTTTGGGTCTAAATTAAAAGTTTGTAATATACTTTAATTAAAAATTCTCATTAGTATTGTAAGAAAACACTTATTTTACTTGGTCAAAAACAGCTCTGTTTTCAGCACGCCGTTTCAGTGCATATGACTTTAAATGATAATGAGCTGTGCTCACCCCGCCTCTCTGTGCTGTGCGTACACCGTTTGTAACACAATAACACAATAACCATAACGTGTTGTTCAGTATAAACGTGGGATTATGAATTATATTGAGAACGTTGTACATAGAAAACATGCTGTAATGTACCCTGAGTGTAAACCTTAGACGCATTCATCGTGAAGTGTGCAGCTAGCGATTTGCAAAGATTAATATAAATTAGGGCTGTCAAATGATTAATTGTGATTAATCACATCCAAAATAAAAGTTTTTTTTACATAATATATGTGGGTGCATTGTGTATAATTATTTTATATATATAAATACACACACATGCTTGTATATATTTAAGAAATATTTCCATGTATATACTGTATATACAGATTTATATATAATTTATATTATATATAAATATAAATATTTTATATATAAATAATATTTTTTTCTTAAATATACATGCATGTGTGTGTATTTATATATATACAAAATAATTATACACAGTGCACCCACATATATTATGTAAAAAAAACTTTTATTTTGGATGTGATTAATCGTGATTAATCATTTGACAGCCCTAATATAAATGTTAATATAAAGATTAATAAAACGTTACACTCACTTTAGTTCTTCTGAAGGTTCAGCAGGAACACGAATAGGTTCCGATCCTTTATTCAGGCGCAGCTTCTTAGCAAAACCAGCTTAATGCTGATCCTCCTTTATAAAGCAGTCCACT